TCTCTCTCTCTCTCTCTCTCTCTCTCTCTCTCTCTCTCTCTCTCTCTCTTTCTTTCGATCACTCTCTGCCCGTCTCTCGTTTCCCCGCACCCCTCATTCTATCCCTCTCTCGTCATCTCTCTGTCTCTGTGAGTGTGTGTCTCTCTCTCTCTCACTCATTCGCTCACCCTCGTTTATCGGGACGTGTGTGTGACGATCTCACCTGCTGGTAGCGGGTTGTGGACCGGTGTAGCTACGGAGCACGTAACTCCCGCATCCTCGCCGTGCATGCAGTTGTGTAGACCCGGCTTAGAGCTGTAACACTGCGCTAGTCTGTCTTCGTTTCCCTTACACGACACGTCGTCCATCCAGATAGGGCCGTCTCCTGCTCCGAATCTCGCCTTTCCGTGCGCTCTTGCTGCCCCACTGAGTATAACAGCATATTGAGTAATCGCTGCTCATGTAGACTGGTTATAGACGAGCTTTTGCGAATTACAATTCCGTCAAATTAACATTCTAATTCAAAGTACTTCATATCTATTTCAGGTTAGAAGTAACGTGGTTACATACGAAAAATGTATTTATATTATGTCATACTACGCCTATAGTAGCCGTGCTTACGTGCGTGACTGAGTGCTTGCATGCGTGCTTGTGCCATATAGACTTTGTTCGCTGTGTTTACCTGTATCCCAGCATCCGACAGACCACCTGGGCAGCAGTGTCATCAAAGCCATCGTCGCAGATTGTACCCCATTTCTCGAAGTACTTCAGCTCAACGCGACCAGAATTAGGAGAGGTCCCGTTCACCAGGCGCACCTCGAATGGAGCTACAAAGGTTATGACATATTGTATTCACATAATTTCCTATTGCATGCTAATATTTCTCTGACAAAAAAATATTACTAGTCCTTTAAAAGGCTACTATAACTGTCCCAATTACTCCCTTTTCCTCTCTGTACCCAATTCTCTCTCTCTCTCTCTTTCTCTCTCTCTCTCTCTCTCTCTCTCTCTCTCTCTCTCTCTCACACACACACACACACACACTTCTCCCCCCTCTCTCCCGCTGTGTCTCTTCTC